CTAGGTTATATTATTTATGAATTTCACTTCAAGATAGTAAAGGGGGTGCTAAAAGATACTTGTTAGAGTAAGAGCATGTTGGGTGTGTCGGGATTGCACTGGGTTTGAGTTTTCAGGAAGGTAGTAGCTATTTGAAGGTAATGAGGGACTTGAGTAAATGAGAGGTTCTAGAATCAGTTGGGTATTAGACTGACAATGGCTGAAAGGACTTTGTTCTGGAGGCTGTTGGATAAGGGAGTGGTGGCGAATGGAGCAGTGTTTATGCGTAGCTAGGATAGACCTGGGGGAGGTGTCGGGAGGGATTAGATGTGGTCGAGTGAAATACTAAAGCAGGTGTTGTGGACCCTGTGAAGTACTAAGGGTCCATGGAGGGATGGATAGAGCAGAGAGCAAGGTAAATTGGGAAGAATTTTTTAGACTTTTTTTACTGTATTTGGGGAAGACAGGTATAGTGAAAGTTTAAGTCTTTTGTCCCTCTTTGGCATCATTTCAAAGGACACAGAAAGTTCTTATCACAAGATTAAAAAAATTTGTAACTGTGGTGACAGATGTTAACTGGACTTATTGTGATCATTTTCTATAAGTGCAAATAGTGAACCATTATATTGCACACCTGAAACTAATATAATTTATGTTATATACATAAGGGCATGATTATAGTGAGATAATTTACTTTAACGTTCTAGGTCAGGTCATATTATATTGACAAAAATAAAGACATTGAGGATTGGACTCATATATAGTAAGTTGAATAAATATATTTGTATATAATTTCAAGTTTATATATTGATGTCTAATTGGGAAAAAAGTAGATGGCATCTTATACTGAAGTGAACCACAGGCAGGCACTGAATTTATGTATCACTCGTTTGTTTAATAGTTCTTCCATGAATTCTGCTTGGGGGCCGCCCCTCTGTGGTCCTATTGGACTTTAATTGAGCACCAGTAGTATTATCACAAGGCATATACCGTATTCTGCCGTGTATGGTGTACACCCATATTTTTGTATGCATTATACACAGGATTATTATACCCACAGTATGTAGTCATTATACCCATGTATAATGAGCATCCTTATTTTTCCCTCAAAAATTTGGGCAAAAAAATACACATTATACACTGCAAAATATGGTTTAAAATATGGATTTTCATGAATAGGACAGAAAAACACTGCTGGAAGGGAAAACTGTTGTCACTAGATTGCTTCCCCTATGTAGCTTTAAGCTTTGTTTCAACATTGTGACTGTGTTCTTCTTGTGGTGCTTATAGTGGCCCACCCTGCTTCCTGGGTCTCTGAACTCAGGCTGTGATTTTTCAGGAAGGAAAGGCTCTTGCTCTGAATGTTGACAGACCTTCTCTAGCTTCACAGCTGAGCTAGCGTTTTAGCCCGACTTTGCTTTTATGGGAAAGGTAGGCAATATTTGGATTAGGATAAAGTTTCCGAATCTGCCTCCTTATCTAAATCAGCACTTCTCCAAATGAGATATAATGTGAACCACATCTGTAATTTGAAATTTTCAAGTATTCACTTTAAAAAAAAAAGAAATTAAGTTAATTTTAACAATAGTTTATTTAACTCATCAGATCCAAAATATTATTTCAATATATAGCAATGTTTTAAAATTATTAATGAGATACTTTTTTTAACGCAAAGTCTCCAAAGTCAGCATGTCATTTATACTTATAGCAGTCAACCCGGATACGGAATATTCATTGGAAATACTTGATCTGTATATTGATTTCATAAAATTTATAGTTGAAAAGTAGATTCACTACCCAGGAAGTTCCACATTGACTTGAATATTTCCCAAATATTAGTTTGTAAATTTAAGTTAATTATAATCAAATAAAGTTAAAAATTCACTTCCTCGTTTGCACTAGTCACCTAAGTGTTTGTAGTTCCCCATTGCTCCTAGTGGCTTCCATATCAGACAGCACAGCTGCAGATTATTCTTAACACCACACTTAAGTGCTTTTGTATTTTCTTGGGTTATTAATGAATTAGAATTAGTTCATACCACAGAGTCTTTGGGAACTGTTTTACTACATTAGATTTACTCATCCAGCAATCCAGTGCCTAGGGAAAAATAGCTCTGCATATTGGTATTTCATTCCCAGGGCCAGGGAGTGCTTCACACATAGTAGGGGTTTAATCAGTGCTTGGCTAGCTACACCCTATTTAGTCCTCAGGTTTACTTAAATTTTGCTTTCTCAGGGAAAATTCACCTGCTCCTTTGTTAGATTGTTTTCATTGAACTGAGTTACTTTCTTCTAAAATATACATATTTGCACACTGATTTGAGTAACTTCATGGTTAATAGCCATGTCCCAGACTAGACTATAAGTCCCATGAGATTGGGGGAGGAGTTTTCTTCATTAAAGTATTCCTTGCCCATGGCGAGTTTGGAATAATATTGGTCAGATAATAACATCACAGGGCCATTTAAAATATGGCATGACTAGCAGATTGTCCGGTTCTTAACTTTATAGTAGTTGGAATTTTGTGTTGGGGGGGAGGATATTTTATTTTAATGATATGCATACTAAAAAATATGCAGATTTTTAGGTTTTGTTCAGGTGTTTTCAAAATACTCCTGTAAGTATGCCTTTTCCTAGCTTTCTTCTACTTTATTGGTCTTCATTTTTAAAAAATACCCATCACCTCACATCTGTCTCTGCATAACTTTGAGGTGCACTGAAGGCAAAACTAGAAGGTAGGAAAACAGTGTTTTAAGGAGCTGAGGAAGGCACAGGGCAACAGGGAGGTGATAGAGGCAGCATCTCTTGCTGTTTCAGGACAGTTAAAAATAAACCCATCATTTTAATTATAGAAGAGTAATGAGCCTTACCCACAATATGTGAAAATATGATTAAAAATGTACTGAGAGTTAGTAAACCAAGGTTGTCAGGTCATTATCTGAATCATAAAGTTAGAGGTAATACCCATTAAAGATGACTAGTTTGGAAAGGTTAGCTTAGAATTTAGTGTTTGCAAATACAGGGGTGGGTGAAAGTAGATTTACAGGTATAATGCAAATAAATAATACAATAATTATTAAATAATAATATGCAGATAGAAATTCTGTTTTGCAGACTCACAACTGTCAACCTACTTTGCCCACCCCATGTGAAGTCTCTGCTTTTGAATAGTGCTCTAGTAAACCTCTTGCATTTACTGTTCCTTTCAACATTCCAACATGGAAGCGAAGTAGGCACACAGAAATGGGGCCGTGAGGGTACAGCTTGGTGGGCTTTCACATGCAGACCAAGCAGCGGTTGGTGACCATGACAGCTTCCTGGAGGCTGCCCTCCTGCATTCTCCAACTCTCTTGCCCTCCAGGGTAAACCATTATCCTGACATAGATAAGTTCTTCCTGTTTTTGTACTCGATAAAAATGGAATCGTTGTGTATCCGCCTTTGAATTAATAAAACAGATTATCATTCTAAGTGACATTTCTGGTAGCAATACATCGAAAACAATGTGTTTTTGCAGTTTTCCTTATTATGCATCTAAGTTAGTAAACTGTCAGTTTACCACTGTATTTACCATATTTTGTCGTGTGTGATGCACACTTTTTTGCCTGAATTTTTGAGGGAAAAATAAAGATGCTCACTATACATGGGTAGTACCTGAAATGCCTTGTTATCTGTTCTTGTGTTTTATAATTATTTGTTACATAAAATTTCTTGTATCATAATATGTTGAAAAATAAATGCCAAGACTAAGATTCCTTTATAATACAAAAAAACCCCAAGTATTTAAATATAAATGAATTAAAACTTGAATTAGAAAATTAAAATGAAATATTTTTTTCTTGAAAGTTTGGGCCAAAAACGTGCATGTGCATTATACATGGGAGCACGTTATACATGGCAAAATAAGGTAGTGCTTTGCTATTCCTTTAAGAAATGGTGTATGTAATAGAAGAGTGTGTGCACGCACACATGTGCATGGATGCGTGTATATGCACATGCACCTGCTTTTAAAGATTTCACTCAGACTCAGTCATGCTGGGCTGTGCATGCCATTCACCGCTTAGTGATAGGGCTGAAAGCCTCTCTCATAGCCGCTCATGTAGGCCCGATTCATGGTTCCGAATAGCGGCACAGGACTCATACATAGATGTGCGTGGTTTCATGAGCCAGCTGTCTGCTGAAGAACAGGTAGGTTGTTGCGGACATTTTGCTTTTAGAAAAATGTAGTCAGTGTGAGTTTATCTATAAAGTATATTCTTGGAAATGAAATTGCTGAGAAATGGGTCATACACTTTTACTTTGCTCAGATATTTCTAAATGGCCCTTTGAAGAGTTTCTCCACTTTTGCTCCTATCAGGAAGGTTTAGTAAGTCCTACTTCCAGTTTCCGATTTCACATTTTCTTAAGTTTTAAGTGAGGTTAGTTCTTTGTATATTTACTGGGCAGTTGTGTTTCTCTTGGGACTTGTACCTGTCCTTTGGCCATTTCCTTACGGGCTTACTCATACTTTTCTTAATAATTTCAAGGAGTTCTTTGCATGCAAAGGAAATTAGCACTTTTGTGTCATTTTTGGTGGGTTTTTTCTAGTTGTTTTTTTGTCTTCTCTATGTTTATAGCCATTTTTTCCCCTAAACAGAAGGTTTAGATTTTTATACTGTGAAATGTACAGTTTTTTCCTTATTGGCTTCTGAATTGTGTGTTTTTAATGAGAAAAAGCACTGGAAACTTTAGATAGATAATAGATAAGTAGATAGGTAAATATATAGATAAACTTAAGCCTAGGATGTAAAAAAAAAAAGAAAATCTCAAATGTTTGTGGGAAAAGGGCCCTAAGCAGGAATTCAAATTTTAGTCAAAGGTGGTATAACTAACTATAAACAAACAAAAATTTGGATGGTATCTGTCAAAATTTATTTAACATTTTAAAACATCTTTTGGAAGGGTTTTCAATGATATGCTTATCTCTTTATATGTATGCTTTGTTATTTGGGGTTTTAATTTCTCAAATGATCCCTCTTTTCAGATTGCAAATTATAACCCATTTCCGGCGCCATTGCTGACATCCAGTGATCCATGTCAGAAGTACTTCCAGGTCAGATATATTTTCACATGTTTCAATGCAGAGAAGCAGTTGCATAGTAAGACTAACAAATGAATGTGATAGATGATTGTTTTGATGTTCAACTTACGATTTGCTAAAGTAACGTGTTGTGGGTTTTCATTGTTTTTCACTAATGTAATAGAAAAAGTGAATCTTTAAAATAAGATAGCAGAATCAATTGGACTTAATTGTATTCATGTAATAATTGCTATCAAATTTTGCTATCTAGCATTGCCCATTATAGCCTGTGAACAGTTACATATGAGCAAAGGAGGTGGTGGTATGAGTCTCCGGACCCCACTGTGGAGTCTGCCTAGGATGGACCTCCCCGAGTCAGTATTCTCCTCGGATCCAATGCTGAGTAATTCCAGGCCCTAGGAAAAATCACCTTAATTTTATTGTATGTTCCTTTCTTAGCGACGTGGTGGATGCTGGTCTCTACACAGGAAGGTGTGGGGTTTAACTCTTAGCCTCACAGGAATTTAATAAGGGGAAAGTGATGGCAGTAACATCTGGTATTAAACACACTATAGGACTTCCACATGGCAGGCGCATCTGGGCAGATCCGTGTTTGTTAGGGCACATGCCACTCAGAAAACTCTGAGTTTTGAAAGAAATAGATTTTAACCATGGACCAGTAGATATTAATGTCCCTAAATTTTAAATTAAACTCACTAAGTATGCCCACCCTCTTTTTTGCTGTACATAACACTGCATATTTCACATCAGCAGAGAACTAAAGTAAAACAATAAAATAAATACTAAGTGCAGCAGCAGAAGTATAGGAATAAATAGGAATACCCTTTTCATAAAAGTCAGCCAAAACCAGTATGACAGAGGAACCTACATTCACAGAGGAAAATTAGGGACTTAGGTGAGTCTTAGAGGACATCTAATTCATGCTGGGAAAATTCAGGGGCAGGGAGGTTTTCTTTGTAAATACATATCTGAACAGGTACATTAATTTCAGAAAATCAAGGCAAATATGTATGTCCTTTTAAAAATATATTTTAAGTATTGAGAATAAACCCCTTTAGGAATTCTTTAGCATTAAAATTTTTTTATTACTTTGGAAAATAGACTCAGTATGGAAACATTTTAGGAACAATGCTGGCAAATATATAAAATGATGTGTTTTGTTCTAAACAGAGGTGAATTAATCAAATGGCATGTAGCAATTTCTTCTGGCCATTATATTTTGTTATGCTGATACAGTTGGTACTCAAATTGCATCATTCCTTGGTAGTTGTATAAAAAACAATGAAACTGTTTTCCAGCATGATTTTTTAATAAAGAGCTACTGCTATTGTACATTGGTATAGAATGTAACACATTTCACCAGAAAGCAGTATTCTTATTTCAGTGGACATATTCCAGCCATTTTTATTTGAAAATTGAAATGCAGCTAGTAAGGAGAGTCTGGACCAATACGTGAGATCAGGTATGCCCAAATCCCGCTTTCCGCCTTTCAGGCGCGTCATAACTCAGAGCGTCTTTGAAAAAACACACATACCAGAATCAGTACCACTATCTGCCTGAAAAATTCTTGTTGAACTTGCAAGATTCAACCTAGGAGTCTCTTCTGAACAGGTCGTAGCTGTGACATAGTCTAGTGATTAGCCTACGTTAAGGCTTCTTTCATCGTTTCTTTTTTTTTTTTCTCTTTTGGAATTGACTTGAGGTCAGCTTATTCAAGAAAACCTGTGTCACTTCATTTGATATTTTTTTCACCTGAACCAGTGTTCCCAGGTTTGATCATTACTAGAATCATCAGAGTTGGCCATAAAAGTCCAGAGCTGTTAAAGAAATAAATTCATCTTCAGAAGACATGGAGGCTCTTCTAAATGATGAAAACAGCTTAGAAATGGAGCAGAGAAAATATCCTTGGGATATGCACGTCACATTCCAAGATGATTGCCTCTAATGTCTTAATTCTTATTTGAGTGCACACATTGTGATTTGTGTTTCCAAATGATCAGCCACCACATCTACCACATTTTCCCGCATTTGGAGTGCCTTCCTCTTCCTTGTCAGCTGGCGGACTCCCACCTATCTTTCAGGACCTAGCTCAGCATTTTTGGTGTGTTGTTGTTTTGCTTTTTGTGGGAGATCCTTCCCTGAACCTCTCTCCTCATCTGTAATGCCTTCTTGTAAGCCCCTACTTTTAGCTTTTGGGGGTTTGTTTAATAAGTTAAACAAACTGCCCCTGTCTGAGTTTCTTAAAGCAATTGGTACATCTTTCTTGAAGCACCTCAGTTGCACTTGGAAAGTTGAACAGAGTGAGCCCTGAGGCCATTAAGTTGACTGAAGAATAGGAAACCCTTGGGTGGTTAGAACTAGCTCTTGAAATCCGTCCCAGTATCTAAAGAGCCTTGGGAAGTTGCCCTGTGAACTAGCTGTGTGAAGTTGCTTTCCTGGTTTAGAAACTGCCAAGGTACTAAACCTGTGACCTCTCCTACCCAATGACCCAAGCTGCCTCCTAATAACCTTTGCATCTTTTGTTTATAGAGAAGTTCTTATCATTTTTGTCACATTGAGAGTTTACTTTCATGAGTAATTTCAGGAAACCAGCTTTATTTTGCCTCTCCTTCCTAAAAGAAAAAAAAAATTTGAGTTTATTTCATTTCCTTAATACTTTGAGGTCTAGTTCAAAAGGTAACATTCCTCAGGGCAGATGTTTTGCTGTTAACGCCTCAGTGGAGATAAAATTGTATAGCAGAAAAATAAAAATGAAGAAAATGTGAAGTCTCATTTAAGAGTGGGGCGAGCACTGGGCTTCGCTGGGCCCATTTGTCAACCCTGGGCCCATTTGTCAGTTTCCAATTTTATAAGCATGTCACAGGAGCAGAAAAAGAGAAGCAGGTTATTGAAGAGAGGAGTTGCCTGTCGTGACTGACTATTTTTTCCCCTTGACAGGGGACGAGTGGTCTCAGAAGGAGAAGGGAGCAGGTCTAACTACAGGCTCCAGCACGGGGCTGCGTGACAGTGTCATCTGAGTTATGGGCTCACAGCTCAGTGCTCAGATCTTTTTGACTCTGGGGTGAAGAAAGCTTGGTTAGCCATGAAATTAAAATGACCCTGGCCTACCTAATTTTGTTTAGGCTTTGTAAAAAAAAAACAAAAAGAAAACACAGAACTCTGTATGTTAGAGTTTTGTTGCTTTTGTTGCTCAAAGGAGAAAAACATTTCTAAGTGGTTTAAGCCCCCCCAAAAATGTTTTTTGGTTTTCAGTGATTCCAACAATGTCATTGTAGCTTGCTGACTTTCTCTGTCTCCTGACTGTACTTCCCCATTTGTTAGGTTCTTGCTTATGCAAGATGCAGGTTGTCTTTTCGTGGCGACTCCTTGTAGCTTCTGTCTTCCAGTTCAAGAAGAAGAGAGAAGAGAGCACTTCTCTTCTGGTCATTCTGACAAAAGTCTTAGGAAGGAGTGCCTTCATGTGGGTTGCTTGCTTTTCCTTGAGCTGGTCGCCATAGCGGTGGGGATTTGTTGCTCTGATTGGCTGAGCCTGGGCCACGTGCTTCATGAAGTCAGGGGCAGAGTCATCTCTGCCCGAACGTAGTGGCTGAATCCCTAATCTGTGCGAGAAGGTATTTCTATTTTGTCAGTTTTGTTCACTGCTGTATCCTTGGTAGTGAGAATTGTATCTACTGCATGGTAGTACACACAAAAAAATATCTGTTGAATGAGCGTGGAGGAAGGCTGATTCCTCAAGGGAAATTTTGGGGCTTTTACCTAAAAAGGAAGAAGTACATGCCAGCCTGTAACAGATGTTTCTTCATCGTGTAGGAGAGCAACAGCAGCATTCATATGAGTTCTCGCCACACTCTTAACTCTGAACTTATATCCGGCTCTGGAATAGGAACCGATCCTCTTGAACTGATAATGGGTCTTCATAGGTAACACTCAGAACAGCATGATGAATAGATGTGGAGGTGATGGCAAAACCAGGGGCCTTCTGCACCTTCCAGAGACCCAGGAGCAGAGCCACTTCCCTGCTGAAGTCAGGCCCTTGGGTTTATACCCAACACCCCGAATACACCCCGCTCGGAGACGCTGTCTTTCCTCTTTCCCTCCACTCCGTAGACTGCCTGTTCATTTTGTTGATGCTTTCCTTTGCTGAGCAAAACCTTTTTAGTTTGATTTTGTCCCATTTGTTTATTTTGTTTTTGTTGCCTTTGCTTTTGGTGTCAAATCCCCTAAAAAATCACTGCCAGGATGTGTTAAAAACCTTACCTGCTATGTTTTCCTCGAGGAGTTTGATGGATTCAGATTTTACTTTCAAGTCTTTAATCCATTTTGAGTTAGTTTTTGTGTATAGTGTAAGAGAGTGGTCCAATTACATTTTTTTTTTTTTTTTTGCCTGTGGCTGTCTGTTTTTCCCAACACCACTACTGAAGAGGTGTCCTTTCCCTACTGTGTATTCTTGGCTCTTCTGTGATAAATTAATTGGATATATATATATATATATATATATATATATAGGTTTATTTCTGTGCCCTGTATTCTGTTCCATTATCTATGTGTCTATTTTTATGGCATCAAAGTTCAAAAATTTTTTGAGTGTCACTAACTCTGTGTTTTTTCCTTGTGACTATTTCTAAACTTTGTCCATCTCTGCAGATTTCCCAAGATTGCTTGCCCTCAGGGAAGACTTTATTTATCTTCATGAGAAAATCGTGGCTGTCAGTTTTACTTTTCCTTGGTTTCGTGTCACAGCAGTGACATACGTGCCTGTGCCCATCCTTATTCCCCCACCTTCTTTCTTGTGTGAAGAAGTGCCCCTTGTCGTGGGAAGGGCCTGTAGTTCCACACCTGCTGTAGTCCCCTCTCCTCCCGTCACCTGGATTCTTCCTTCTTGGTCTGTCCTTCTTTTGTGTTTCTGCTTTCCCCTCCGACAAGGACACTGAACGTCTGGTGTCCTGGGTCACTCAGCTAGGGAGAGTCCCAGACAGGGCTTGCACCTGTCCCCCTGACCCTGAGTCCTGTGCTCTTATGTTCAGGGGCACTGCCTCTCGCTCGCGGTGGCCTTTCTCCCTCGGCTGTGGTCTCTCTAGGATTTCGCCAGCCTTATCTACTCCATGACCCTTTGGAGCTGAAATGACTGTCTAGCTGATATATTAATTCTTGGGGGCAGCTCTAACTTCGTAAGCTTACCTTGGCAGCCTTAGTTCTAGATCTGAACCTTCATTTTGCTTTCAGATCACAGCAGCATTTAACATCTAAGACACACTCTAATTGTGTTCAGGCCTCGATCTATAAAAACAGTGTATACAGAGCTGTCTTGTATAGGGCGGTCCTGTTGTTCCAGCCTCCCCCTACCCCCATGTTTTCTTACAAGCACAGGGGTTACAAAGGAAGGGCATAGGAAGGATGATGAGATCTAAACAGCTGATGAGAACACGGCTAAAAGTTTCTGCCTGTCACAGCCAGGATATGAACACTACTTAAATATTAAATCACCTAGAAATGTGGATGGTGTTCTTTCTGAAAATGTTTATGGTTATAAACAAAGTAAATACAAATTTCTCCCTAATAACATTGCTAGAATGTAGGACCTACCATGATAAAGTAGCCTCAGAGATTTTCTGCTATGCCTTTTAAAAAGCCGCTAGATTTCTAGCTTTTTCATAATAACATCACTCTAACCACCCAAGAGTCTAAGTATAATTTTCCCTTGTGCCTGTTACGAATATGTGTCTCTGGAAAACTTGGTGGGTTCGAGGGCTCTTCTCGTCTCAATTGCTATGCTTGAGTTAGGTTGAATTGTAAATGGAAGCATGTGTTTTCTATAAAATGGTAGTAGTAGCCAAAACACTATTAAAATTTTTAATTTCGTCTCAGAGTATTGTTCGGAAGGGAGAAATACACTAGACCCTCTGTTCCTGTAAAACGAAGCCCAAGTGCTGAGGTGGGCTGCTGGGTAAGCAGGATTTTTTTTTTAGCTTTTATTTATTTAATTTTAGAGAGGGGGAAGGGAGAGAGAAAGAGAGGGAGAGAAACATCCGTTGGTTGCCTCCTGTATGCCCCCAACTGGAACCTGGCCCACAACCCAGGCATGTGCTCTGACCCGGAATTTAACTGGTGACCCTTTGGTTCGTAGGACGATGCCTAACCCACTGAGTCACACCAGCCAGGGCAAGCAGGAATTCCTATAGATAATAGTCCTGAAGTATGGGACCCAGGCTCTAACCACTTCGGATTACAGCTCCTAACTGTCTCTGTGGGCTGCACGGTCATTCTGTTATAAAACAGACACTCCCTAGACTGTGCAGAGATGCCTAGTTTCCTAGAAGCTTACAGACTCCAGGATGAGTGGGGGATTCTTTTCTAAAGTAGCCCATCCTGCACATTTGATGATAGAAGGAGATACCTTTCAGCTCCTGCATGGAACATTCTTGCCTTCCTCCCGGTGGAGGTCCCCGTTCTGCCCGAGGGAGGATGAGGGAGTTGTCGCAGTGCAATTTTAGGAATGTCAGGAGCTGTTCCTTGGCTCACCCGCTGCTGGTGTAGAACTCACCGAGGTCTCTGCGGAGGGCAAAGGATCAGATAAGAAAAAAGTCATTCCTCTACAGGCAGAGCGATGTGAAACCTCAGGAATTCTCGCTGATGAATCTTGTTCCCGTTTAGTCTGAGAAACCGTTCTTTCTTCCTAGCAAGAGACACGTGGAATAAATCACGGACAGTGTGAACAATATTTGAGATAAATGCAACTGTCAGGTAGTTTCCTACGAGTTCTACAAGGGCACAGGTGACCGCAAACAGCCGAGTCTGTATTTTAATTCAGCGGAACGCATTCAGAACTCCTCTGGGGCTCTGACGTGTCTCTAGTCTCAGGCTCACTGCTATATTATAGTAATAATAGTTCTGTGTGGTGTGTGTGTGTGCTCTTGAGCAATTAAGGCATTTCTCCAAAATTTCTCTTTGCACAGATACTAAGCCCTAGTCAAAAATGTTTACAAAGGCATTAGGAAAACACTCTGATGGGGTGTGATTTTTCTAGGCATTCAGAACACAATTTCTAAACACAGTTGAGAAAAATTATCTTGGATGTATGGTGCCTCATTGAAGTGACCTTTCAGATTAATTCAGAAAGCTGGAGCCCAGAAGGATTTGGGGGCAACTTTTTCATTGCCTGAGGGAAGAACAGCATAGAAATGTGGCAAATGTTTATTAGAAAGGGAATAACTTTCAAGGTTGTGGAAAATGAAGCCACCAGAAGAAAATGCTTTCTTTCCAAATTCAAGAGAGAGATACTTTTTAATTTTAAGTAAAAGTTGGACCCTTAGACATTTTAGCTTTTCTATAAATTGGCTTTTGGATATTCACATTAAGCCTGTTATTTGTCCCTATTTAATATAGAAGCAAATGGTAACAATTAAGAGGAAAATGGGTTCTGTATGTAACATGTAACAGAAGCATTAATTCTCACAAACGCCTGTTTAAAAATGTTTGCTCACTCTGTACGCCGAGCCGTTTGACCATGTCAGGTGTCTGACAACCTGTCTCCTCTCTTGCCAGCCGACTCAGGTGCAGACACTGTGGCAGTGTTTATGGCCAGCAGCGGCACCACGGATGTCACGAATCGGAACAGCCCGGCCACCCCACCAAACACCCTCAACCTCCGTTCCTCCCACAATGAACTGTTGAACGCTGAAATCAAGCACACAGAGGCCAAGAACAGCACGCCCCCAAAATGCAGGAAAAAATATGCACTAACTAACATCCAGGCAGCCATGGGCCTCTCGGATCCAGCTGCACAGCCCCTGCTGGGAAATGGCTCCGCCAACATCAAGCTGGTGAAGAACGGGGAGAACCAGCTCCGGAAGGCTGCGGAGCAGGGCCAGCAGGACCCCAACAAAAACACCAGCCCCACTGCGGTCATCAACATAACTTCTGAGAAGTTAGAAGGTAAAGAGCCCAACCCACAGGATTCCTCGGGCTGTGAAATTTTACCCTGCCAGCCCCGGCGAACCAAGAGCTTCCTAAATTACTATGCAGACCTGGAAACCTCAGCCAGAGAACTAGAGCAGGACTTGAGTGGCCAGCACCGGGTTGCGGAAGAGAAGGCCCCGCTGGGCCCGGGCCAGGCCTCCACCGTCATTGGGAACGGAGATGTACTGCTGCAGAACCCAAACAAGCCCCAGTTCAGCCCTGAAGACGGCCAAGTAGCCACAGTGTCGTCCAGCCCGGAGACCAAGAAGGATCATCCTAAAACAGGGGCCAAGACGGACTGTGCGCTGCACCGGATCCAGAACCTGGCGCCCAGCGATGAGGAGTCCAGCTGGACCACACTGTCCCACGACAGCGCCTCACCCAGCTCCCCGGACGAGACAGGTACCCCTGGGAAGGGTGTCATAAGGTGACACTTTCTCTTGGTGTTTTCCATTATTGATGGAATTGATCTCTAGACTGACCCTCAAAATCTATTTGTAGCGGAGAAGAACATGATCTTTTGGGGTAAAATTGGGGTTAAAAGGTGGAACATATTGTAAGATCGTTTAACAATTTCATTTTGGTTCCAGCAAAAGTTGTTTTTTCTGGGAAGCATTTTTGTAAAACAATTAGGTCCTTGGTGGTGGGTACAGTAAAACATCATCTATTCAGCAAGGATATTGCCAGTGTGTAGGTGCACTGTTTCTGTCTACTGTCAAGAAATACTGTGTTTTGTTAAGCAAAATAATGAAAGAAATACAGTTGCTGGGGTCAGGATATAATTGATGAGCTGATTCATAGAACCAGCTATTTTAAATTTCGCAGCAGAACTTATTTATGCTTAAGCTAATGGAAAGGTTAAACATCTATTTATGAAAGACATTTTCCTTTTGACCTTCACTGGGGAGTAGCACTGTGCTAGCCTTGTTCAAGTAATATCTGAAAATGAGAAAGTGGTGTTTCTTCTAAAATATATTCGGAAGTTCAGGATTTTAGCTAGTCTGATGGACTTCTGTCTGTATCTATAACGTCTTTGGATTTGTCGGAGGAGTCAAAATTGTGACAGGAATGAACAGGGTCCTCCAAGTTAGCTACTTTTAATCTGTTTGTCACAGTCCTGCATTATACCGGTCATGAAGGTAAAAGATGGGGAGAGCACTGCTATTTCTGAATTGGGAGTAAACCAGCAGTCGCGAAGGCTTATTTCTGTAGCATAACCTCTCAACTGCCCTAGTGGGTCCTGTGGCTCTGTGCGTGTGATGCAAATAGAACCACCAGGGAAGGAAATGTTTTCCCAGCTTATAAAGCTGAGAAACTACAAGGACTACAGATAAGGAAAAGAGATGGGCACAGTTTTTTAAAAAAAGGAAGTGTTTTTGAAATGCCCTTTAAAATTGCAGCCCTTGAAATGATGGATTTCATCAGCCTGCTGTAGCTGGGTATGGCAGTAGGGAGGTTGCGCGGAGTCGGTTTCAGCTTGTAAATGTCTAGACCTGCACATTCCTGGAATCATAATTATGTGTTGTAATGTTACGAAGTTCACAGCTCTATTACTTTTTACCCATTAGAAGAATCCTTATCCTATAGCCGATGGACACCATTACCTGTTAGTGTCTGAATCTACATAAATAACTTGAGTCACTTCCCAACTCTCCCTCCTGTTTTCACACATCCCCCTCCCAACCCGTCCTGCTCTTCCAGGCAGGGCGCTTTCTGTTGTGGTTAAATTTTAAATTCTACTGAGAGTTATTTAATAAACAGTAAAGTGTCCCCTGCTCCTCACTCCAGTCCCTTTTCCCAGCGCTGACCACCTTTTTTTCTTAACTTCCTTTGAGAAACATTTTATGCATGTATCCACATTTATAATAAATTTTAAAATTTACCCAAGTTTTATGATGATGATATTTTTAAAGAGTCCTTACTTTTTAGAGATATACTAATATACTACTTTATATAATAGTGTAATATATAACATAATATAAACTCATATAAATAATATTGAGTATTTTCTCCAGTATAATTGTGGTGGTGATTTAAAAAAGGAAACAAAATTGCCCATAAACTAATAATTGTTAAAGGTGGGTACCTGAGGGTTCATTATTCTGCTCTCTCAAATTTTACGTTTAAAATTTTTTACAATCAACCATTTTCTCACTATTAAAATTTAGATTACTTCCATCCGTAGCCCCTTCGCTCTCTGCGTTCTGGGGTTGGTAAGGGCCTGTGGGGAGCTCGGTGCCTAAGCCAAGTGCGCGGAGCCCGCCCCACCCGCCGCAGCTGCGCAGGACGCCATCCGGGTCCCTCTGCCCGCTGCTCCTTTGCTCTGGGTGCTCGTGGCCGTTCTGTGGGCGTCTCCACAGAACTCGTTACTTGACACGTGATGTGAACTGGATTAGAATTTTTTGACATGTTCAGAGGACACGGTCATTTTCCTATCTTGGCGTTGAGACCTTTGAATTTTAAAGCAGGGGTGACACTGTGGGGAGGGCCCTTGGTGGGTGGGTAAGAGCAGACATTCTGAATCACATAAACAGGCTGGGAAGAATATATTGTTGCTGTGACTCTGAAGCAGCGAGATTGGGTTTTTGAAAAAACGTACTGGAAGTCAGACCTGGGCTGTCCTTCAGAATGACCCCTTTGGGGTCTCTGCGCCCATTCCAGCACGCTGCAGTGTCTCAAAATATTAACACGAGTAATATCTGGGAATTCTTCTGGAATTTCCTGAGAGCCAGTGGTGAACTCGTACCTTAGGATCACACTTCAGAGTGTCAGGTGGTGACCACTATATAAATTAGAGAGTAAAATGAAACAAGCGACCATTCAGATCATTATTCCTTTTGGTTTCATCTTCCCAGTGAAGCGTAACATCAGTATTTACAATGATCACAATCAGTTTAAATTAAACATCATATGTTTCACTTCTAGTAGCCAAATTAGTGTTTCTTATACATACAGGGTCTGGCAGAAGTAACGCCTGCTTGAGTATGGTTGGTAGGGTAGTAACATGGGTATAATAATTCAGTTTTAATTTGAACATTTCACCTAAAGCGTCATATGATATACTTGAGTGTGGTATTGTTATGTTACAGAATTATACGCTTCTGATTTTGTACTAACAGAGGGGCGTTATTTGTGCTGGACCTCGTATTTTACGTAGTACATCCATGTCTATATAGAATAAACACAAACTGTTGGAAGGAAAGAAAAAATGAAAGCAAATGTTTTGTAAGATATTAGCCTGCAGCATGATTAGTTCATATTTAAAAAGTATATATGTTTGCTTATTCACTGGGTTTTAAGCTAACACACATTACCATGGTGTGTGCTTCATGACTAAATCATGATGACGGAGTCACCTTCAGAGTCTAGGCTACGCTGTGGGAGCCTGTAAGAACAGAACAGACTCATTTGTACTTTAGAGCATCCTTTCCCAATTCGAGTGCTATTTATGAAATAAACCGAGCAGACTAACTCAAAGACTCAGCACTTTCTATTTCCCTTTCTTTCAGATTTGCCCCCTCCAGCATCTTAGCACCTTTTTTTGCACAATCCTATGAGCCCATTATGTTGCTCCTCTTTCCCTCCTAAGTAGTCTGTGCTCTGAGAAAACAAGAGGTGATTCTAAAGCAGGAAAGCATCTATGAAGTTACTGGGTTTCATAGGAGTTTCAAAAAGTTCAAAAGAGGGCCGTCTCTAAAAGAAAGGGCTGGAACTTGAAAGTGAGGACTTTTAACCCGTTAGAGTCTGGCCAGAGACCCCGGCCCCTCGGGGGCCCCAAGTCAGCGCACGGCCCAGATAAATGCAGACCGCTCAGATTGTGAGTGGTCTCTCTGCATCACCTGGTGTTTTACGTGGGCTTCATGAAAACTTTTGAAAGACATACGTCGGTGCTCTCTGGGTACAGGTTTCAGTACCTTGTAGGTTTAATTGGGGGCGTAGCAAAATTGAAGATACAGAGTGTGAAACCGGGTGCATTTTGTGGAATAGCCATTTTCAAATGAGCTTCATTACTAAATACAATGTACAAAGGATATGTTCATTGTGCATATACATTACATTATACATTACAGTGTATAGTACAGTACAATGTACATTATATTATACGTACATTATGGCAGGATATATGCAGAGAAAACCAAATGTACCTGGTATGGCAGGGGATCTGATGCTCTCAACTGACTTATTATTGAGAGCATGGACTCCAGAGTTGGCTTCCTGAGTTCAAATCCCAGCGCTGTTTCATGCGGGCAGCTCACAGAGCTTCTCATCAGTAAAAGTGGGTGGTGGTGGGGTTTTGGCTTAGACCTGTTGTGAGGATTGAGAGCACCTTCAAAGAGCTTTCAGAACAGTACCTTGGCATATACCAGGAGCTTGGTAAATACGAGTGCTTATTATTGTTAGTGATCATCATCAGTGCAAAAGTGGGATATAAAAACTTATTTCTGCCCTGACTGGTGTAGCTCAGTAGATTGGCGCGGGCCTACTAACCAAAGGATCGAGGTTTGATTCCCAGTCAGGGCACATGCCTGGGTTGCAGGCCAGCTCCCAGCAGGGGACACACCAGAGGCAACCATACACTGATATTTCTCTCCTTCTCTTCCCCTCTAAAGATAAATAAATAAAATCTTTAAAATTTTTGTTTCTCTCTTCATAATAAATCACCTATATTTTGGACACAGATGTTATTTTGTAATAGAATTGATGACGTTGCCTTGTAATAGGTGGGATTAAATAACCAATTATTGAGGAAGGCATAATGAAATTCTGTGGGCCTACCATGTGGCAGATCTTGTTCATGGTACTTTCTCATACTCCAGTGGCCGTGCTGGATTTGGACCAGGGTCTTCAGATCTTAGCACCTTGTGTTTTTGTACTGTACCACTGTCTTGAGATGTGGGCGTGTGGTCCCCAGAGGCTGAATGGATCAGGCTTTAGCTACTTCACCCGGACGTGTGTGGTAGTTATCTTGAGAATCTGAAAGATGGAAATTTTATTTTAGAGGATCTTTCCATTCCTGTAAGCACTTGAGATTTAACTCCAATTTTGTCATGTGCTCTGGGAAATCTTTCTAGACTCTCTGAGCTGTTGAAAGTCCTTTCTCTGTACCCCACTGAAATGTTTCCAAGTCTCTGTTACCATATTTCTCTCAGAAGTTTGTAATGTTTCTGTTTGGACGTAGAGCTCCACGAAAGCAGAAGCCGGGTCTTTGCCACGTGTGGGTGCGAGCCTCCTCCTACAACAGCACGTAGCCAGAGTCTCATAAACGGTGTCTATTTGCTGGTTGGATGGGTGGGGCTGGATGACGAACATGCATGTTCTTTGGGATCTGCTACATCAGTACTCCTATGGAAATAAAAAAGTAAGCCTGGCTTGTATACAATAATTGTTTAGAGCTCCTGGAT